GACCTGCTGGGCTCCAGCGATCCTTCCACCTCCGCCTTCCAAGTAGCCGGAATTACAGGCGCGCGCTACCACTCCCGGCTAATTTTTTGATTTATTGTAGAGATGAGGTCTCGCCAGGTTGCCCAGGTGGGTCTCAAACCCGCGGGCTCAGGCAATCCACTCACCTCGGCCTCCCAAAGTGCGGGATTACAGGCTGAGCCACCGAGCCCGGCCTGTTTTTACTTTTTATCACTGGAAAAGACATAACTAAAGATGCTTTAAAGTGAATCACAAATAAAAACTAGAAGTTTCTTTGCCTCGGTCTTTCTGAAATCTGCCTGTCCTGAGAAATCAGCAAGACAGGCAGATTTTTCCATGTCCAGAAGCTGAATTGACTCAACAGTGCAGGTTACTAATAGGCTCACCCACTAAGGGTTTGGAAGAGAATGTATTCCTTCTAAAAGCCAAGAATGTAAACCACTAAGAATTTCATCTGATACTTAGATTATGTCTGTTTGTTCTGTGGAGGCCTATGCTGCTTATACCATTTATACAGAAAAGGTTTGTGAAAATTTTTTGACAGTGGCCTCACACACCATAGAACATGCCACTTCAATTATTTTAAATACTTTAAATTTTAGAAATTTGTGCTGAAATGTGCCCCAACATTTGTTTATATTACTAGTCATTTACTAGTACCTTTCGGTTTCTCTCCTACTCTTGATAATCCTCTTGACTTAGTATCTTCCTTTAAGAGAACATCTGTAGTCATGGCTTTAGATCACACACTGAATCTTCAATGAGATTGAATGTAGAAAGGAGGGGAAGTTAGTATTACAAGAAGACCAGTCTGGCACAAAGCCAATTTACTGAATGTTGCTGGTGTTTGCTGATTCTCCCTGATAATCTGGTTAACAAAGCTTTATTATTTATAGCTCCTAGAGTGTGTGTATGTGTGTGTGTGTGTGTGTGTGTGTGTGTGTGTGTATGAACCTTAGGGACTTTAAACAGCAAAATGTGTGTGTTTCTAAAATAAATATTTATTAACTGTAAATTCCAGCTGGCTTCATCCGTTTTGCTAATGTGAGCATTTTTATTCATTTTCTAAAAATCTGTGAAATAACTTGTCTAGCACTCATCCTAGCAGCTTAGAGCCATACTTAACTCCATATGTCATAATATAAGAGCATCTTTTCCCTCGTCTCACATATAGTCAACTTTTACCTGATATTTATTGAGTTTCTACTTTATGCCAGGCAGTGTAAACAACATGAGGAGTTATACAATGTGGTCTCTAGCTTAGAGGCTTCTACAGTTTGGTAGATAAGAGGGATGCATTAGTGAGTATTTAGTGGCTAGTCAGCAACTATCTATGGGCCTGGAGCTGGGATACTCTGAAATCTGGTGTTTTCAAAGTCTACTTAGTGATTTTTAAACGTCTCCTCCAGAGTTTAGTGCCAGAAATTATTTGGGAATTCAAACAACTCAGTACTTCCAAAGTACTTTTTTTTTTTTTTTAAGAGTTAGAGTCTCACTGTGTGGCCTGGGTTGCTCTTGAACTCCCAACCTCAAGCAGTCCTCTTGCCTCAGCCTCCCAAAGTGCTAGGATTACAGATGTGAGCCACCACACCCAGCCCCAGAGTACTATCAGAGAATGGATTTAATCAGGGTTGGAATTTTCAGGTAATATAACAGAAGGAAGGAGAGAAAGAGACAAGCGATTTGAAAGAGTATATACAAAGGAATATTTATAGTAGTAGACTGTGGAGTCTAAGCCAGGTAAAGGGGAAAGTTAAGGACATGAAGGAAGTGATGGGCAGTGTTTAAAAGAGGTCAGCATTAGTGGATGGAGGTTCTAAGAAGTTGAAGAATTATTGGGATCCGTGGACATAGGCTGTAAGCTGGAATGTGAACTGATAGAAGTCAGAGAAGAGGAATTTTAGGAGTGTGGTTATTGATAATGATAAGGTCTGGTTCATAACTGATCACTGAGCCTGGTAGTGAGATGGAGTGGAAGATTCTGATTGCTAAGAAAGAGAATGACATGGCCAGAAATCAAACGAACCTTCATGATCCTGCTCAGATGTTACTACCTATTTAAATCCTTCCCAAATTTCTTTGTTTTTCAGGCAAAATTAACCTATTATTTTTTCAGGTTTCCATTATACTTGTATATAATGAACTATAGTCAGTTTTTAAATAATTGTATAAATAATTATTTATTATTTTAAATAATTGTTTAAATAATTGTTCATTATTATTTAAAAACTGACTATACTCAATAATTGTGAGGGCAGGAGCCATATCTTATTTACCTGTGAATTCTCAAGCCTGATACAAAGCAGTGGCAAACATGAATAAGTGTTTTTGTAGTTGAATTGAGGAGAGAAATAGTGGCCAAGTGAACGTAAAGTTTTTGAGGCTGTTTTATTGTTTGTTTGTTTGAATACGAGTCTCATTCTTTCACTGAGGTTGGAGTACAGTGGCATGCTCACAGCTACCGTAGCCTCTACCTGCTGGATTCAGGCAATCCTTCTGCCTTCTGCTGCAACTACAGGCGTGTGCCACCACACCTGCTAATTCTTTTTGATTTATTATAGAGATGAGGTCTCACTAGGTTGCCCAGGCTGTTCTTGCACCCCTGGGCTCAGGCAATCTTCTCGCCTCCACTTCCCAAAGTGCTGGGATTATAGGCATGAGCTGCCGCACCTGGTTGAGATTTCAAGGTTTTAAGAGGAAACTCTTAAAAGAGGTTTTAAGAGGAAACTCTTATCTCAGTAAACTTGGTTAGAATCAAACATACTTAATAACAGAAGTAGCTCAAGTGCTGACATCCGTGGAGTCTTTCCTGTTCTAGTTAGTGTACTGTTCTTACCTTTTCTTGTTATTAGTTTCTTAACTGTACTGTATTTTTATTGGGTTTTGATTAAAATCACTTTGTTACTTTCTTACATATGTATTAGCATCACGACCTATCTCTAAAAAAGACTGACATTTTTGTTTTCAGGGCACTAAATTCTGTACTGTAAAGGACCTAGCCAATTGGATGCATTCCTTCTATAAGGAACATTACAAGTATAAGGAGAAAGAATAGTTACTAGTTCTTTTTCGTTTGAGCTAAGCTCTAAAATGTCAGAACTCAGCTCTCCTTGTTGAATTGGCTTAACTTTGGAGTAGCAGAGAAAGCACCTGCTTTTTTTAAAATATAAAATGTGTTAAATTAAAGTCAATAAAGGTTTGTTTCTTGGAAATGAAACTATGGAGATGTCATTAATGGTTCAAATCCTCATTTCCTGGCTATAAGTGTGTCATCTTCATGGCATTCTGGAGCACAGAGCCTTATGGCTGCATTGCTTTCATCATGTTTGTTTTTTTTTTTTTCTTACTCCATCTCCCAGACTGAAGAGCAATGGCATGGTCATGGCCACCCTAGGGTCGACCTGCTGGGCTCCAGCGATCCTTCCACCTCAGCTTTCCAAGTAGCTGGAGCTACAGGCATGCGCTACCACTCCCAGCTAATTTTTTCATTTATTGTAGAGTCAAGGTCTCGTCAAGTTGCCCAGGCTGGTCTCAAACTCACAGTCTCAGGCAATCTACTTGCCTCAGCCTCCCAAAGTGCTGGGATTACAGGCTGAGCCACCGAGCCCAGCTGCTTTTATCTTTTCAACAGCAAGAAGTGAAAAATCTTTGTGTCATTTACTAGAACCTTGATATGATTTTGTTTACAGAATTTTTTATAGTAATATTATTACCATGAGATTTTAACTGTTATACACATACACAAAATATTACTAAGGACTTATATATATAACAATATAACAAAGATCAAATTTGTCCAATCAAAGGTATCTTTCTATCTAATCACATCATCGAGTCACAACGTAAGTTCCTTGTTTGTTTTAGTGATCAGTTTTATTTTACCAAGTCTCTTCTACCAAGCCACTTCTTACCTTACACCAAGTCACTTCTAAAGAGATAATTTTCTTAACTCTAGGACATTTTGTGCTCATCACAGATACCAATACATAGCTAGTATCTCTGCTATTACTGTGAAATTATAATTTTAGTGTTGTTTGTGTTATTGATATTATTGTAACAATTTTATTTTTAGCAAATCTCTCTCTTTTTTGTTTTTTGTTTTTGTTTTTTTTTCACTTAAAGGAAAGAACGCTTGGTATATGTTGGTATCAGTATTGAAAACATCATTCCTCCACAAGTAAGTTTCTCATTTGTATTATTAAAAGGGGAGGCTGCCATTATAGTTATTAAATTTAACCAACTGTAAGTAGTGTGAGCAGTTTTAAATGTATAATATACCAATATTAAAAATGAAAATTTAAGATCTTAGAGAAGTCACCCTAATCCCTAATCCCCTAATCTTGTGATTGAAATTATATGTATGCAGATAATTTAAAAATATGATATCACATCCAAACTAAATTTATAGTTCTTCCCTTTGAAATACGTTTGATTATTTTTACCCTAAATTTGGTCATTTGTTTTTAGTTGTTTGTTATGCTATTTTAGTAAAATGATTAAAGAATAGTTGAGGGTGATTTGATTTTTAATTCCTTGTTTTGGGGGGTTATCGAAAACTTTAATTTGAATTATTCACAGTTTGATTTCTTTGAAGGATTACCAGTGTTGTGCACTTACTAGTTTAATTTTTATTTATTTTATTTTATTTTTTGAGTTGGAGTCTCACTCTGTCGCCCAGACTGGAGTGCAGTGGCCGCTCCTGGCCACCGCAGCCTCGACCTGCTGGGCTCCAGTGATCCTTCCGCCTCAGCCTTCCGAGTAGCCGGAATTACAGGCATGCGCTACCACGCCCGGCTGGTTTTTTGATTTATTGTAGAGATGAGGTCTCGCTGCCCAGGTGGGTCTCGAACCCGCGGGCTCAGGCGATCCACTCACCTCAGCCTCCCAAAGGCGCGGGATTACAGGCTGAGCCACCGAGTCCGGCTACTAGTTTAATTTATAATTAAGAAAGGTATCTCATGAGTGAAAGTACATGTAACATGATTTTCATTTAAAAAGATGAAATTGTCTTGGTTTCATAAATAGTTTCAGGCTATTTTAATAAAGTCACAGGCATAAATAGCCTGTCATGTTAAATAAAAGTCTATTAAAGTATATTGTCTTCCTTGAGTACCAACCCCTTCTAAATCCATCATTTCATTTATTCAGCATATATGTTTATTATCTTCTGTGCCAAATGTAATTATTTCCTAAAATACGGATCAGTGGAAAAACTTCATTATGACTAATTATAAATTCTCAGAAGCATAAGAATTTTAATACAGAAGCATTTTATCCTTTGATCACCAGTGTTTTTCATCTGTATACTTAGTGTTGCCATGCTTATTCAGTTTTGAGAGGATCATTTCAGTCCTTTCACATGTGCTGCCTAGATGGAGATTATAAGACTCTTAATCCAAAGGAACTTTGTTTTGTCATAAGTAATAACTTGCATACTTTTTATTATGTTTTTAAAGGAGCCAGATTTTTCTGAAGACCAAGAAGAAAAGAAAAAAGATTCAAAAAAATCCAAAGCAAATTTGCTTGAAAGGAGGTCAACAAGAACACGGAAATGTATAAGTTATAGGTATGAAATATATAGGAGCATTTACAGTAAAAGAGTATGGTAAAATGTTTCACGGTTGAACAGCATGACCCAGAAGTATATGCTTTGCCCATCATAATGATTATTAGCAGATGTAGATATACTTTTTACTACCATTTTTAGAGTCACAGAATTTTAGAGTGGTGTAATCTTTGCCAAACATAAATCTGCTCGTGTTATCTTATGCTTACTATACTTCAGATTTCTAAAACCCTTGGAATAAGGATTGATGCTTTTTATAAGTCCATAAGGCATATAAACTCTCCTTTGCCCACCTCTTCAGTTCCATCTTATCCATATCTTCCCTTACTCTCTCTGCGTTTGCCACACTACCTTCTTTTAGTTCCTTTGCACGTGCTGTTTACTCATATAATTTCCTTTCCAGTTTTACCATGCTAACCATCTCTAGATCAAATCCACCCATTAAATGCCCTCATAGCAACTAGATCTTCTCCCTAAAAGTACTTATAATTGTACTATGTGTAGTTACAATGATTTGATTAACATTTCTTTCCCCCACTAGACTGGTAGCATGAAGGTAAGGACCATGTCTGTTTTACATGGACTTATGTCCCCTACTGTACCATAGTGCTGACACATAGTAAATGCTCTATAAATGCCTGGTGAAAGAGTCAGAAATACAATCTGGTTTACCTTCTGCTACCAAAGATACCAGAGAGGGATTTTCCTATGATCTCTCTATTTGTAGTGAAACCTAGAACTAAAACTTTATCTGCTAATTGTTTACTAGTCTATAGTTATTTTCCACTAAATCACACCGTCTCACTGAATAAGTAAATTATATTTTAATTATTTTAGATAATGTTTTGGTGTATGGCCTCTAAAATCTACTAGGACAACACCAAAACAACTTTTTAACTTGAATAACTAAAAATGAAAAACAAAGAATTTTATAAAACTCTGAACTTTGAGTTTGTTTCTTGTTTATAAACTTAAACCAGTGATCATAGAAGAGTTCTATGTGTGTAGCCTACTACTATTATTGTTAAAACTTTATAAAATACAGTAGGATTAGTAAGGGTAAAATTTTGTATATATAAGAACAGTGCCCATCCTAGTTTTTTTTGGTTTTTTTTTTTAAGTTGGAATCTCACTCTTGTCGCCCAGGCTGGAGGCTCATGGCCACCAGCCTTGACCTGCTGGGCTTTGGGGATCCTTCTGCCTCAGCCTTCCAGGTAGTTGGAACTGCAGACACACACCACCACATCTGACTAGTTTTTTGTGTGTGATTTATTGTAGAGACAAAGTTTCACCAAGTTGCCCAGGCTGGTCTCAAGCCCCCAGGCTCAGGCAGTCCTCTTGCCTCAGCCTCCCAAATGTTGAGATTACAGACTGAGTCACTGCTCCTGGCCCATCCTAGTCTTTTAAAAAGTAAATCATTCTGTATATTATCAAAGTACACAGATGGAAAGTACAAATGTAAAGTCAGTTCTGCTGTAACATAACATATATATTCCTAAAAATCACCATGCTGTGCAAAGTTACACAGTAAAAACCTTTAGGGAGCCAGGCACAGTGACTCACACCTGTAATCCTAGCACATTCAGAGGCAGAGGTGAGAGAATTGCCTGATTACAAGGATTCGTGACCAGCCTGGGCAACTTGGCAAGACCTTATCTCTACAATAAATTAATAAATTAACCAGGCATGGTGGCGTATACCTGTAGTTCCAGCTATTTGGTAGGCTATGGCAGAAGGATTGCCTGAGCCTAGCCGGTCGAGGCTGTGATACCCATGAGTGTGCACTGCACTTCAGCCTGGGCCACAGAGTAAGAATCCAACTCAAAAAAAACAACAACCATTAGGGATTATGGGAAATGTGAGGGTTAGGGGTCACATACTCAAAAGCTTCATTAAAACAAGCATTGTGGCAGAACAGATTGTGTTATCTGGTTATTCAAAGAGGCAGAGACTTGTTATATTTGCATTTCATCATTACTGTCATTTAGTATCATTTTATCCTATACTTCTAGCAGAGATGATGATATCAACATTGACTAGAGGGAGCATTGGATTTAGTGTCAGAAGACAGATTATAGTCCTCACTGTGCCACTTACTAACCATGTATCTTGAATGGTTCATTTTCCTTAGTCTTGGTTGCCTCATCTGTGATGATGGATTAACCCTGATGATCCTTTTCAGCCCTAAAATTATATTACAGTAATATGGGAGCTTAGGGTAAGCCATGTTTTTAGCATAAAATATGTGTGATGCATTTGTTTATTCTCTACCTAGTTCCCAAAAGGATTTAAGGAAGGCATACAATCTTAGTGTAAGGAACAACTTTTTAAGTATAGCACAATGGCTGAAGATGGAAATGATGTTTGATTATATAAAAATTAAGAAAGACTCAGACCATAGCATTTACAATATAACATGTTTGCTTACAAAGGAGTTAGAATTTTTTTTTTTTTTTTTAATGAGTTGATGTCTCACTCTGTCACCCAGGCTGGAGTGCAGTGGCACGCTTATAGCTACCACACTTCAGCCTTCCGAGTAGCTGGAACCACAGGCATGTGCCATCACTCCTGGCTAATTTTTCTTGATTTGTTGTAGAGATGAAGTCTCGCCAAGTTGCCCAGGCTGGTCTCGAACGCCTAGGCTCAGGTAATTCTCTCAACTCGGCCTCCCAAAGTGCTGGGATTATAGGTGTAAGCCATCGTGCCCAGCAGGAGTTAGAATTTAAAATGAATAGCTTATAAATTTTAAAAAATGAAATGAGTATAGCTATTTCATAATGGAAATACAATAGTTTTTCACGTGATAGCTCCAAAGGTGGTTGCATATCCTCAAGCATTAACATTCCTGAGGTCATTTTTGTTGGGAAGTTAGTTATTAAGTGAAATTAAGGTTTCATTTGTTTTGAAGACTAGAACGAGACAGGGTAAGTTTCTTGTTTGTTTATCTGGAGGATGGAGAGTGAGGCTGCACTGGAGACATGACGGTGTACTTGTAATGGTAGCAGGGCAGCTGGGCTCAGTGGTTCAGCCTGTAATCCGCCTTGGGAGACTGAGGTAAGTGGATTGCCTGAGCCCGCGGGTTCAAGACCCACCTGGGCAACTTGGTGAGACCTCATCTCTACAATAAATCAAAAAATCAGCTGGGCATGGTAGCGCATGCCTGTAGTTCCGGCTACTCGGAAGGCTGAGGTGGAAGGATCGCCGGAGCCCAGCAGGTCGAGGCTGTGGTGGCCGGGAGCGGCCACTGCACTCCAGTCTGGGCGACAGAGTAAGACTCCAACTCAAAAAAATAATAATAATGGTAGCAGGGCAAGATGTCAGTTTTTTTTTCTCAAAACCTAAAAAAATGTGCATGCAAATGTTAAAGAGGAAATACACTTTGGATAGACATAATTACAACGTGACAAAGAAGTTAAAATCTTTAATACATAAAAATATTTTACAGATCAGAGATAAAATGAACATGGACTAAAAAAAATGGACAAAGCATGCAAACTGGTAATTTACAAAAGAAAGAGTAAAAATGACTAATACACATGAAAGTAATATTTGGCTCTATTTAGTAATAAAATTAAAAGAACAAGAAAATAACTTTGTTTCTCCAAATTAGAAAAGAAGTCTTAATGATAAGATTCCCTTCATGGTTGTGTTACACATTGCTACAACTTTCAGAAGGACAATTTGCATGCCCTTTAAGCCAATTATTATTATTATTATTATTATTACTTTGAGTCGGTGTCTCACTCTGTTGCTCAGGCTGAAGTATAGTCGTGGCAATGATCACAGCTCACCATAGCTGCCAGTTTCTGGGCTCAGGTGATCCTTCCGCCTCAACCTCCTAAGTAGCTGGGACTACAGGTGTACACTGCCATGCCTGGCTCATTTTTTTGTATGGATGAGGTCTTGCTATGTTGCCCAGGCTGGTCTCGAACTCCTGGGCTCAAGCGATTCTCCCACCTCAGCCTCCCAAAGTGCTGGGATTACAGGCATGGTCCTCCATGTCCAGCCTCAGTTATTTTATTTAAAGTATGAACACCAGGAACATACATTGTCCAGCAAAAATATCACAAAGAACTCTTTGGTCATCTAACCAAACAAGATAAAAAATAGATTTATTATAAAATTCTGAAGAAGGGTAGAGTTTAGAGGAGATTTAAATGAAGCAATGAATGATAAAGACTCAAAGCAAAGCAGGACTCTGGAAAAGGGTCAGTATCAAATCTGGACTACAAAACAGACACTGGGTCCAGTTTCCTTGAAAACATTGAAATTAAGGTAGATATGTGCTATGTCCAGAGCTCTTTTATTTGAAGCCTTACATCTGGGACTTAAATCATGACTGCTTAGTTGTGTTAAAAATGACTTTAAACCGGGCTTGGTGGCTCAGCCTGTAATCCCGCGCCTTTGGGAGGCTGAGGTGAGTGGATTGCCTGAGCCCGCGGGTTCGAGACCCGCCCGGGCAGCGAGACCTCATCTCTACAATAAATCAAAAAATCAGCCGGGTGTGGTAGCGCATGCCTGTAATTCCGGCTACTTGGAAGGCTGAGGCGGAAGGATCGCCGGAGCCCAGCAGGTCGAGGCTGCGGTGGCCGGGAGCGGCCACTGCACTCCAGTCTGGGCGACAGAGTGAGACT